GCGGGCCAGACTTCGGGCGCCGCATTCGGCCCGATGGAAGCCCCAGGCATTCGCCCCACAAGGCAACCTGCAGGCGGCAGAAGGGGGCACCAAACGTCGCCAACACCGAGATAAGGCGGCCAACGTCAGTGCCACATCATAATGACATCTGGCAGTATTGAAGTCCAGGCGGAGTTTCGCGATGGCCTCGGACCCTATCAAAACCGCAAGGATCGGGCCAAAGTCAGCGAGTATGTTCGCCACGCCACAACAGAACTCACCCGCATAGGCCAGGGATAAACCGTTCACCGTGGCGCACTGGCGCCTCGCCCAGGCAGGGCGACGGCCCGCTGCAAGCGCGAAGAAGAACGTCGAGCCAGGACATCCCTGCTTGACACCATTTCAAATGGGAAAGGGCTGGAATCGTTGACCCCCAGCAGCGATGATAGCAGCGCGGGCGCCAGTATCAGAGAACTGGACTAGGCAAGGAGAGTCGCCCACGGCGCGCGGCACGAAGAAGAGCCAGCCACGCGCTAAACTCGTAAACGCGGCAGCGAAGTCGGCGAGCAGCAGCGCAGCGTGCCTTTCGTCATTCATGTACCTTCTCATCCCCCATGCCTCTGCCTTGACAATTTTCTCAATCCTGCCCCCCCGTCGCGCACTTCCGTTCAGCGCCGACTAGCGGGGCGGCGTTCGCAACGACGGGCAAGACGCAAGCCGCGGCCATCAGCTGGATGCCCATGTCCTCCGAGCTTAGCGGGTGAGCGGCGCTAGCTTCACAAGCAGGGGCCTGGCCGGGAGCGCCGGAAAAGGGCCCGCGCCCTCCGGGGGGAACGCCATCAAACTGCGCGCCCTGTCTTCTCCAGCGGGAGGAGCCCGCGCTGGGGGCGGCGAACGCGGGGGCCCAGTGATCGCCAAGTGGCAGAGCGGATTTTCAGCGGGGCAAGTAGGCGACCCAGCAGAGGCGCAAACACGAGACGCACTGGGGGGGGCCCATGGGCATGGATGCGAATGAAGAAAGGGCCGAAGTCAGAGCGGAGTCGCGGGTGGCACCCGAGGGCGAGCTGGACTCTGGCGCCCAGTGGCGCTGCTCTTGCAAGCTGACGGCAGGCCGGCAGCGAAGGGCCCGACGCGCCCTCTTCCCCGACAAGGGAGAAAATCTTGGCAATCGAGAATTTAGCGCGCCGCGCATCCGAGCCCCCGGGGATCTCATTGAAATGCCCCCCCATGGCCTCGCCGGACTCGGGCGCCCCAACGACCCGGGGGGGGCGGGCGCAGGGGCGACCGAGGTCCAAGCGAAATCGTTCAAAAACAACACGAGCAGGAATGCGATCACTCGGTGGAGCGGACTTCTGGGGCCCAACAGTTGACGTCGAATTAATGCAATCTCTGGCCAGGGGGGCGGCAATGACGCGCGCGCACGGTCGACGCGCGAAATTTGGTCAATCGACTTGCCCCCCCCCCCCCTCCCCCTCCCCCCCCTTCCGGGCGTCGAGGCCTTGGGGCAGCTCCGCGAAATAGAAAGGGGGGGGGGGGGGGGGGGGGGGGGGGGGGGGGGGGGCGAAGCAGCGCGATTGCGCGGCATCTCCCGCAGCGAATCCACTCCCGCCCCCAGCGCAGCCCCCCTCTTCCTCCAGCGCGAAGTTCCAATCGCCCTAGAGAATGCCGTGCGCCTCGACTTCTTGACCGCCGGGCTGGCGGCGCATCAAACCACAGCGAATGATTTTCATCGCGCCAGAGAAGAGACCGATAGTGTCAGAAGTGTTGGGCAGGTGGGGATTGTGGACCATCAGATTGCCCAGGGGCCCGCGGAGCATACTCTTCAGAACCCCCGCCCCCCCTCCCCCCCCGCAACCAGAGGGGCGTGCTCGACGATGGAGACGAGGGGGGCAAGCTGCGCAGAGACGGCGGCGACGACGCACCCTTCGCATAGACAATCGGCGAACAAGGAGCGCCCGAACTCGCGTCCAGGAAGCCAGCGCTGAGGCTCTCCAATATCACCCTCATGCCCGTGCGTTTCTTGTGCTGCGTTAGTGTCAGATGTCTTGAATAGTTCCAGATGCTGTGCATATCCCGATCTGGCCCGCCACGAATCAACCTTGACCGACGCGAGGTGGGGCTTCGAGTTCCAGGTGCAAACGGAGAAATAGCGGGGGGGGGGACAAGGGGCAAGAAGACGGAGAAGAGGGGTACCTGTTCTGTAGAGTAATCAGCCTTAGCGTGAAAAGGACGCCACCATAGAACCGCACCTGCCTGCTCTACCGATGGAATGAGCTCTTGAATGCCGAATTAAATGAACACGTCTCGATCGCATGCGATGGAGACATCACAATTGTCACAGACCTGCACCTCGACCGCAACAACAGGGTCGCGCGGGCCACGAAGGATGTAAACTGACTACCCAAGCCCCGAACTCCCGACCTCAAGGCTTTGGGGGTAACCCGCTGCAGCGGACACGGACGCGGCCCAGGAATAAAAATAACTGGCGGGCACTGAAGTCGAGGTCTCGTCGGCGACGCAGGGCGAAGGCCGCCGCAGGGTGGAAGGGGGTCGGGAGGCTCCAGGTGCCGCCGCGCCTAGAGAAATAAGATTACAAGGAACTGGCAGCATTCGCACTCTCGAACAACAAATGTGACTTTCCCCGAGAGATCAAATGCACGGACAAGGATTATCGGCGGATCATGCACGCTAGCAACGGCGGAAACACATGCGGAGCCTACGTCCTTCAGATCCTTGAGCAGCAGCGGGCGCGGAAAGCCTCACAATAGGAGCTTCCACGTGTCGCGCTGTTGCTTCTCGATGCCACCGGCTCTCCGGCGGGAACCTCCACTAGAAGGGCAGCCCGCCAATGATGCTGATGATGGCGGCGTAGAAGGCGAGGCATGGGCGCAAATCTGGGTTTCAGCAATCCTCTGCCGATCGGTGAAGCCGTGAAGCTGGCGTTTGATCTCGGCACAATTGCCTGCAACAGCGGGGGGGGGGCTGCCCATCGACCGCCATGCCCCGTCAAGGGGGAGAGGTTGGGCGCCTGAAGATGGGAATTGCCAAAATCTTGGACTGTTCGGTGTTGATATTCTGGTCCACAGCGGCGGCGACGGCAGCAGCGATGGAATCCTGGTTCCCAGCTTCGATGATGACAATCCCTTCATGTATGGAACGCACGTTTCTGTGATGCACTTCCATGGTCGCGCGCATCGCCGAAACGTCCTGCTCGAAGCTCGGCTCGAGTGTGACCAAATTACTGTTGGTGTCTATGACGGCCTGGATGATTTCGGCCATCCGAGAGGGCGCACGGGAGGGCGGAGGCGAGCATACACGACCACTGCGGCGTCGGTTGTCGCCGTCGTCGCTGCTGTCGATGCGGTGAGCAGGGGCCCGTTGGCGATGCGCCGATACTGGGCTCGCACTGCGTGACGGACTGCTCGAGCTTCTCGATGCACGGCGGCGGCCAAGCGTCTTCCCAGCAGCGCGAAGACCCATAGCGCGGCGAGTCTAGGGCCGACTGGAGTGGTGCGGGGAATGGTGAGATGCAAGTGGGGCAACATGCCAGAACGAAACGTGCTAAGGCGCACGGCAAGGGACAGAGGCCTGACCTCGAATGGGACGCTTGGGGCCACCCCTCGGCAGCGTCCAAGTTCGAAGCGCCAGGGACGCACGTTTCGACCTTGAGCCAACAATAGCTACGGGCCCCCATTATTTAGGTATTGAGTCTATTTTCGCGTCGTCGTTCGTTCGTCATTCGATCAATCGTTCGCCGTTCGAAGCCATGTATTTGCGTCGTCGTTCGTTTGTTGTCTCCCATCTTCTCCCCCCGTAACCTCCTGGTCAAGTCACCGTTAGTTCGTCGTCTCCTCCTCCTCTCTCCCACCCTGGCTCCCTGGCCCGGAGCCTTGGGCCTCCCATTAGAGATCAGAGCTACCATTCATTTCTTCCACAGCTCGAACCCTTCATGATCCTCTTTTCGTCATCGCTCGTCCGTTTGTCGCCCTATGGGCCCCCACCCCTAGCCCTGCTCCCCTTATGATGGCCCCAAGATAATACCAGGACTGCCCTAGGAACTCGCTCTCTCTCCGCACGCTCCTTCTGCTCCTGGCCCTCGCTCGCTCATGCAAGAGCTAGGCAATGCGTGCCACATGTTTTCGTCGTTGTTCGCTCGTCGTCTACCCCGCGCTCTCCCCCCCCCGTCTCCTTGTGGCCTGGAGCTTCGGGAGGTCCCCCCTGTTCGGAGCCTCTGGCCCCACCTGGCCTGGACTCCATCCTCTTCGCCGTCGTTCGTTCGTCGTCTTCGGCGAGGTGACAACTGGCCGAAGGAGAGGTGCTTGCCGCGCCACGCTTTACAAATCTGCCTGGTCATTCCACTTCGGCCAGTCCCGCCAGCCTGCGGAAAAGAAACATCCCGTGGGATTTTCCTTCCAAGATGGCTCCAATATTGCCAGGGCCTCCAAGACGGGTCCACGGGCGGCTAATATGGCCAAGGTGGTCCCAAAATGCCTCCAGGACGGCCAAGGATGGCCACAAGACGGTCACGAATGGCCCCGGAACGGTCCAAGAGGTCTCCACCATGGCCCAAAGACGGGACCCCACGATCGCCCCCAGACAACCGCAAAAGACTCCAGAAAAGCTCCAAGACGACCCAATGTCCACAAGACGACCCGAAGGCCGACCCCTGAGGGCTCCAAGGCGGTCGAAGATAGCCCAAAGACGGCCCTAAAAACTGACGGACGCATCGTTTTGTGTATCAAGGGGAGGGGACAACAAATTAGAAGGAGATCCACAAACGCGTCCAGTTCACAGGCGAAGCGAAGGTCAAACAATGAATACTGTGAGCATGAGCGAGGGGAACATATCGCAACCACCTCGGCCCAAGGCCTGTGTACGCGTTCGGCCCCAAAGACGACGATCCCGGGGCAAGATGCACACGCTCGCACACTGAATTGTCACGCTTTGGGGGGGAGCAATGATCGAACAAGAGAAACATACTGAATGAATAGGAACAAAAAGCATACATCAGCGCGGGGTGCCGTCAGCAGGTTCCAGGAAGCCCACACACTTCCCTGCAGTCAGGGAGGCTGGCTCGCAATAGTGTGAAGCACGGGCGTATTCAATGGCAGCAAATGAAAGGCAACAATGACAAAGTAAGTCTGAAAACTGTATATACAATCGTCTACGTAAACGTGTTGGGCAACGCGTGCTCATCCACGTGCCCGCTCTTGGGATCCCAAGCTGTATGGTGCATGCTTTGTATTATATATTCTCCCTCTCTCCATCGATCGGTCACTATTGTAATACATGCAAAACTTAGACATGACTGCTTACACTTATGTACCAATACATGTAGGTCTCTCTCATCTCTCTTTCTGTCTCCAATCTTCTGTCTCGCCAGGCGTGTCGCCTTCATGCGGTAACCATGGGGGCATGGCCCTGGTGTTTCTCTGAGCCCCAGGGCCTGACGAAGCCCCGAAGAGTGGCGTGAGAGCACAAGACGACCCAAGAGGGACTCAAGGTGCCCCTAAAAGACAAACCCCCCAGTGAAAAGTAAGGGTAGAGGACTTGACCCTGAGGTAGTAAGCTGAAAACCCTACTCTGAGGATAACGTCGGCGACGTAACGGTGCAGCCCACAACTCATCCGTTGATAGCGAACAGGACGACAGGTAAGAGAGGAACCATGGGAATGGGAAATTGATCATAGAAGGACGTGGCCATTGTCCGTTGCTATGATCCCGATTGAGGCGCACAGAGCCGTGTGCACCTGGCATATAGGACAGCGCTGCCTTGAGTCAAGACAGCGTCGGATATAGCGTTCGCAATACAGCCTCTCCATAAACCTCGTTGAAAGTCCCCCGACTCTGAGGACCACGAGAAGCACATGAGAGAAGCCGTTGCTATCAACGGCGTGTCTCTCGCCATATTCTTCTTATCGGACGCGCCAGTACAGCCCACGCCAGTGACACTCAGAGGCCAAAATGTCACAACAAAGACTCCTCAAGATGGGCGGAAGATAGCCCCTGGGAGACCCCTTCCACCGCACACGATTGTACAGCGAACAACGCGCTCCACGAGGCCCCGAGAGAGCCCACAGAGGCTCCAGCGTGCCCCTCATCCCCCAGTGGGGTCTCCACGATGGCCTCAGACTGCCCCAAGAGGTTCCAAGGCGCCCCCCAATATTATACAAAAAGGATCCAACACGTAGCAACAGAAAAATATAGCATTGATAAGGCCAAGCCTGGGCTGCCGGCGACAGAGGCCTAGCCCTTCGTTTATTCCAACCGTCCTGTGGTGTTGGGTCCCCGTTTTGAAGAGACAGCGCCCCGCGTTCCTACCTTCCTCATTTCCTCCTCCTCCTCCTCCTCCTCCTCCTCCTCCTCCTCCCTCCTCCCTCCCCTGCCTCTGCCCTCCGCATGCATCTGATTCGTACGCCCCTCATACGTTTCGTGGCCCCATGAGAAGCTCCACCGAAGGCCCCAGTGGCAAAGTTCGCATGGCGGCCCCGCCTCATTTCGGCGCACCCCTCACACTTTTTGTGGGCCCTGTAAGGAGCTTCACCGAAGGCCCCAGTGGCAAAGTTCGCTTGGCGCCACCGCCCCATGCCGGCGCACCCCTCACACGATTCGTGGCCCCACAGGGAGCTCCACCGACGGCCCCAGCGGCAAAGTTCGCATGGCTGCCCCGCCCCATGTCGGCGCACCCCTCACACGTTTCGTGGGCCCTGTAAGGAGCTCCACCGAAGGCCCCAGTGCGGGGGTTCGCATGGCTGCCTCGCCCCATGCTGGCGTTCCCCTCACTCGATTCGTGGCCACATAGGGAACTCCACCGACGGCCCCAGTGACAAAATTCGCGTGACGATCCCGCTCCAGTTCGGCGCACCCCTCATACGTTTCATGGCCCCATTGGGAGCTCCACCGAAGGCTCCAGTGGCAAAGTTTGCATGGCGGCCACGCCCCATTTCGGGACACCCCTCACACGTTTCTTGGCCCCATAGGGAGCTCCACCAAACGCCTCAATGGCAAAGTTCGAATGGCGTCACCGCCCCATCTCAGCGCACTCCTCACACGTTCCGCTGTCTCAATGCCCCAGTGGCAAGATTCGCATGGCGCCACCGCACGCATTTCGGCACACCACTCACACGTTTCGTGGCCCCACATGGAGCTCCTCCGAAGGCCCCAGTGGCAGGGTTCGCATGGCGCCACCGCGCGCATTTCGGCACACCACTCACACGTTTCGTGGCCCCACAGGGAGCTCCACCGAAGGCCCCAGTGGCAGGGTTCGCATGGCGCCACCGCACCCATGTCGGCACACCCCGCACACGCTTCGCGGCCCCACAGGGAGCTCCACCGAAGGCGGGGCTTACAACTGCACAATTGCATATGGTTGTGTCCTTCGCCAGGATAATTGTATTGCAAATGTGTATCGTAAGTCCGACCGCTCCCCTGCTAGGAGGATCACCCGGGCCGCTTTCTAGAAAAATCAATCGGAAAGGAGGTGGCCAGTGTCTCCTAGGAGGGAAGGGGGGTCCTCTAACGCCCCGACTGCGCCGCAGAGGCACGCTTGCCGCTGTGTCTGTTATGGATGGCTTCTAAGGCAAGAGGCAGCAACAATGTCCCAAGAGCGTCCGAACTTGCCCCAAGTGGGCAATCATGACACAATGCATCGATTGTATCGGTATTCGTGCCCAGCGCTTCAACCTCGCCGTCCTTCTACTCCTTCTCATTCTTCTGCGCTCCCTCATCCTCCCCCTTTGACGGGAGTCTCGATGTGTGCGTCCGCACGCGTACCATTGAGGCCGAGCGCAAGATGACCGCTGTATTGCGCATCACTGCGCGCCCTCCTGCAACGCACTGCTCGCACCAGTCTGCGTCGCGTTCCAGTCCCCTGCCCTGATCGAGTGAGAACCAGTAGTAAGAGGTTGTACAACTGTGGGCCGTCTACTTGATTCGATGTCCCGCACCGCACTTCACAGCGATAGGTGTGTGTGTGTGTGTGCGTGCGTGCGTGCGTGCGCGTGCGTACGTGCTTGCGTATGTGCGTGTGTTGTGTGTTGTGTGTTTGTTTACGTGTGTTAAGTGTTGTGTATGATCGTATTTGTGCTTGTGTGCGTGTGTAAACTCTCCGTTGCATCTGTGGGAATATATCGTTCCTTGCGAAGAAAATTAATTGTGCCGTCGAGGAGTTGAGGTCGAATGCCAAGAGACGCTCGCTTGCGCCAGCATTTCTTCAGCGTTCCGACGAGAAGTCACCAACTGGGAATGGGGGGAGCAAGAGCCCCAACCATCTAGGCACCTTCACGGTCCTGCACGGGCAACACGCCAAACCCAAGCCTAAGACGACCCAAGTACCTTCCCTAAGTGGTCGCAGACCTCTCATTTGCCGCCGCTCGATCTAGAGGGACACCAGGCAACCGAAGACGGCCCCTGGACCTCCTCTGACGGACCGTCGCCCCCCCCAAAAGGTCCGACGATTCCAGATAGGACTCCGACGTGCCTCTAGAGACCCCCAAGAGCCCTTAGACATGCCCATGCATGCCGAATCTACATTCGCCGCCTCTCTTGGGTGCGCACGGTTACTCCGACTGTATGACTGTACCTGGTGAACTGCAGTCTTTTGCTCGTTGGGTTGTCTTTTGATGTCGTCGTTTGTCTCTCCAGTCCTGTGAGAATTGTCTACCAGGGGGCCCGCGGCTCAAAGAACACCAGGGGGGCTCAAATTCTTGGCCGATCCAAGGTTCACCAGGCTGCGCATAGGGACGCCACCGCACGGTCAGGAGTGTCCAAACGGCCTCGAAGGCGACACCAAGCTCCAAAGAGAACCTCAACAAACCAAGACGGCACAGGAAGGGCCCCAAGATAGCCCAAAGACGATCAAATAGGCCCCCAAGGCGCAACAAGTGGGCCTCGAGAGAATGCCCAAAAAGGCATCACACTTCCATTATGAAAAAGGGAAGAAAGATATGAGATGGAAGCGGAAGCGTAAGCGGAATCGACACGGATGGGAGGGCGGAGTGGAACAGCGAGGAGAGGGGAAAAAGGAGGAGTGGGAGCGGGCGGACGCAACGCCTAGAATTTACGCGCTCAGGACGCGCAATCTGTGAAGAGAAGGGATTCCACAGATGGCTGTTCCTGGGCGTTGGCGGCAGAAGGGCGCAACATGTTCTGCAATTGGCCTCCGAGCGCCCTTCGCGCTACCACATACTCTCTCCTAGCAAACGGTATTTGCTCCACGACTGCTTCCCTCACACCTACCTCCAAAAGCGCTCGTCATCCAGGGACAGCATTTGACTGCCACGGGACACGAGCACGGTCCGTGAGGGCAGAAAGCACATAAAAACGATCGAATACAAATCACCCGATACGTACCCAACCCCTTCTACACGCGAGGCGAACATTCGCATGAACGCTCCATACCAAAGAACACACCGCCAGATATGCACGATCTGCGCTGCCATCATCTCCGCCGTGGCTGCCAGGAGCCCACGACAACGACGGTCGTGCAGTTCGCAGCCACTCAAGGAGCAGCGAGGTCCCGTATGGGACCGCGTTGCCCCCGACTCCGCTGGACCTCCCAGGCGCCCACGAAAATGGCGACGGCTGCCCAATTCGGAACCACCTAAGCAGCAACACAAGTCCGTCTGGGTCCGCGTGGCCCCCGACTCCGCTGGACCTACTAGGAGCCCACGGCAAAGGTCGACGGTTGCGCAGTTCGCAACCACCCAGGGAGCAGCGAGGTGCCGTCTGGGTCCGCGTGGCCCCCGACTCCGCTGGACCTCCCAGAACCCCAGGAAAAAGGCGATGGTTGCGCACTTTGCAGCAACCCAAAGAACTTCGCAAATCCCGTCGGGGTCCGCATGGCCCCCGACTCCGCTGGACCTCCCGTGAGCCCACAGAAATGGCGACGGTTGCGCACTGCGCAACCACCCAAGGAACTTCTCACTCGTCTGGGCCGGTGTGGCCCCCGACTCAGCTGGACCTCCCAAGGACCCACGACAATGGCGAAGGTTGTGCAGGGAGAGCGAGGTCCTGTCTGGGTCCGCGTGGCCCCCATCTCCGCTGGACCCCCCAGGCGCCCACGAAAATTGCGACGGCTGCCCAATTCGGAACCACCCAGGGAGCAGCGAGGTCCTGTCTGGGTCCGCCTGGCCCCCCACTCCGCTGGACCTCCCAGAAACCAACGGCAAAGGCGGACGGTTGTGCAATTCGCAGCCACCCAGGGGGTAGCGAGGTCCACTCTGGGTCCGCGTGGCCCCCGACTCCGCTGGACCTCCCAGGAGTTCACGACAGTGGCGACGGTTGCGCCGTTCGCAGCCACCCTGGAAGCAACGCAGGAGGCAGGAAAAGGGGGGAGGAGGAGGAGGGGGATCAGGAACTCAGGAGGAGGAGGAGGAGGAGGAGGAGGAGATGGAGACCACCGTACTCCAATAAAAAAGAGAACCCAGCACAGGGGGGTCGGGAAAACCGAAATCCGGGGGCGCCCCCACCAACCAGCGCAGAGGAACAAGGCGGGCCTATCGCGCGCTCCGCCTTCGCTCTGGGATGCCTCTGCGTCTGGAGGTTGGCCTGGGCTGGCACAAGGGGAGGGTCCCGTCGCCGCAGACCGGTTCCTCCTCCTCCTCCTCCTCCTCCTACTCCTGGCCCTCATCCCTCACCCCAGGGCCCGCACCGCAGCAGGTCAACGAGAGGCGCCAGCGACCGCTGGTCGAAGCGTTCAGCGGGGCGCCAGACGGACGACGTAGCGCGCGAGGTGAAGTCCACCTGCCTCCAACCGACACAAGGAGGACTGCGTTTCATCGGATTCTCGTAGTGTGCCTCTGCGGCTTCTAACCACCTTCTGAAGAGATCCCCTCACACTAGGAGGGCACAAAAACTCAACGCATCCCTGGCAAGCCTGGTAGTCCTTTTGTTATGTTGGTTTCCTGGGGACGTATAGCAATGCAGCAACGCTGAACCCATCTTGAGGAATCCGAGAGCATGAACCCAAACGAGTTCTTCAGCAACCACGCGGGTCCCCTCTGGATCCCCAAGTACCCCTTGAGAAATCACAGAACGATGTCGTAAATCATCCTAGGACAAAGATGTCCTGTAGGAGCCCGAAGCGCTTCCTAGGGAATGCGACGCTGGGCCCCAAGCGAGCTTAGTGTGGCTGCCTGGGCGCAGCGGGCGCGGCTCGAAGCGGGCACCGACAAGCCGCAGCCCTCCGCCCTCTCCCGTGCCCCGCGGGGACGCATCCGCGGCCACGGGGGGCGGGCACTCGCCCCCCCCCCAGCAGGCCACCGCGGCAGCGGCGGCCAGCAGGGCGCCCGCTCCTGGCCGGCGGAGCCTCCCGTCACCCAGGGGCCGTAGAATCCCTCCCTCGGGAGGTGCTGGCGGCCGAGATGGATGCAGAGGCGGGCATGTGTGGGTTCACGCTAACGGCCGAGACGTTGCACTGGTGCATGTCCTGAGCACCCCGGCCGCTCAAGAGAGCACAAAGCGCGGGTCTGGTTTTCGAGCCCGCGAAGGCGGGCGCCGAACGCGCGATGCGTGGTTGCCCGGGCGCAGCGGCCGCGGCCCTCCGCTCCCTTCCCGCCCTCGGTGGGGGCGCCGCCCTTTTGCGCGCAGGGGGCAGGCACTCGGCCCTCCAGCGAGCCGCCGCGGCATCAGCGGCCAATTCAAGAGAACCTCGCATACGAGTGGGGGGTAAACTCGCGATCTGGCAATCTACCGCGAAGGCCACGCGCCGTCCGCTGCCAGCTCGGAGGGCAGATTTCAGGTCGCGGCAGAAACCCGTCCGCGCCCCTGACTCCTTACCAAGGCCGGGTCCGTACAGCTGCACCTGCTGCGGTTCCTTGTTCAACTGGTCCGCGGTCTTTACCGCGATGGTCTGGTTGCGGCCTAGGCTGCAGCAGCGCTGCCTGCACCTTGCCATCACGCCACAGAGGGGCACGCACACCCTGTGGACAACCTCCACGAGTCAGGCGCACGGGATCAGGATCAGGATGACCAGCAGCGTGCCGAAGGCGACCCTCCCGCCAAGCACGAAGGTGCCCTACGGTGCGGACAGGGTTCCTCAAGAGGCCGCTCGCGTCGGTGTCGGTCGCCTCCACGATGATGCAGAAGCTGGAGGCGAAGCGGCACCTGACACGAGCTCTTCGGTTTCCTCGTCACACCGCTGCTCGCCAGGTCGCCCCCAGCCTCCGGATGTGGGGTGCCCAGGCGCTGCTGCGGGGCCCCGACCCCCGCGCCAGCTGCCCAGCCAGCGCCATAACGAGGACCATGGCGGCCCAGAGCGGCACCATCCCGCGCGGCTGGGCGCCTCCCGCCTCAGCGCCAGTCAGGGCGCCGAGGTAGACGAGGCTCCCATGGGGCGTGGGCGGGCGCGTCGGGCGCCCGATGTGGCCGCGATTCGGGGCCATCCTCTGCTAAGAGAAGGGGGAAAAGGCTGCAGCCGACGGCGATGTGACCGGCGGCGCCACCCCCCCGCGCTTCTCCCAGCCCCTCGGGAACCCACGGTTTAGCAAACGAGTTCACAAACCTACACCAGCGCACCGCCATGGCGCTTGCGCTCGTGCTCCGAGCGGCACACGGTCATCGACAGATCGACGTTGAGAAGGATGAAGGCACCGCTTTGGCGAAGCGGACGTCAAGAACTCCAGCTCGGCGCGGAACCTATGGCACGGATGGGACAACGCTGAGCAACATCATGCTGGGCAACAACACGGATCGGGCATCCACCACCCGAAGCAGCACGTCGGGTGGTGGCAGCTCGACGCTTGAACAGCATAATGCTGGGCAGCAGCACGAGGCTGACGTCCACAGAGGACGACTTGTAGGTCGTGCCATCGGGCTCTGACCAGCACATCGGGGACTGGCAGCATGACGTTGCGCGGCATCATGGTGCGCAGCTCAACGATTTCCCCTCCACAGCTTGCGTGGCGGTGACAAGCAGCAAGCCGCCACGCGGTCGCATCGGACGTCGCACGCTGGTGGTGTTATGGGACAAGGAGGAAGGGCAACACCAGGCTGCTGGGCTTCTTGTTTCCCTATGAGAACGACTCGCTGCCGCGCATGCTGGTTTTGCGCGGGTTTTCCTTTTCCGTTTCTCCTCCTCTTCTCCCCACCTCCTCGTTCCCCCTCGGAATACGCGCGTTGTCTCTGGACAGTGACTTGTTCGCGCACTCGTCCTTCACCCACCCATCCTCCCCGCCCCTTGAGCGCCCTTGAGCGCCCTTGGAGGGCCAGAGTCGGGCACCAAGTGGCTCCCAGCCCAAACCTTTTTCTTGTTGGAGACGGTGCTGCGTTCAATGCGTCTTTCTTGTTGGGCCCTCTTGGGGCCTCCCCGGGGCGCTCTTGCGCATGTTTCGGCGCCTCAGTTGCAGTGGGGGGGCGCGCAGGAGAGCCGCGCTATGGAATACGAGGTCGCGCCTGCTCCGCCACCCCTCGCTTGGGCGAGGGTGTTCGTCTTGGACCAATTGCACGCCCGTGCACGCGCCGCGCTCCCATGCACGCCGAAGAAGGCTACGACGCCTGCTTGGTGAGATGGCACCGACCGCAGGGGTCAGCCTGGCCCATGATTCCCGACAACGTTCTCTCTGGAAGAGTTCGGATCGCTTCTTCGGCCCGCACAGGGCGGGACGCTCAGCAGAATCATGCGGCCGAGGGTCCACATTGTGAACGCAATCGAGCGGTCACCAACTCCACTCCTCCCACGGCCTGAGGCCACAAACAGTGGCGAGACCATGCGATTATGTCTCTTCTTAACTGGGCAGACCGTGCACCTGTGGAACGCTCTGGGGCCTTGCGATAGTTTTTGTTTTGGCTGGTAACGGTCGTTACCGGATGGGAGGGGCTGGGCACAAGGGTAACGGCTTTGTGGGCCCCGGAAACGGCAGGGCCGTTTTTTCACCGTTTCCAAAAAATGCCCCTTGAACATGGAAACGGCAAAACAACGGCGACCGGAAGCGGCAAAAAAACGGCTCCAGGATTGGAACCTGAGCCGGAACCGGTCAACAAAACGGCGACGGAACCGGTATAAAAACGGCGTCGGAACCGGTAAAAAAACTGCAAACGGAACCGGAAAAAAAACGGCCCTGTCGTTTCCAGGGCCCACTAAGGGTCACGGTAACGCTTGGGTAGGGTGGGGTTCGTCGGGGCGGGGGCGCGCTGCGATCGCCATAGTATGCGCCCGAGCAACACTCTATGCCTGCGAGACTGGAAATGGCCTGCGATTCAATCACGCGCGGAAGGCAAGCGAGAACTCCGGCAAGGCCAGACGAGCACCGCAATGGCATGCGAGCGACCCGTGCGCGCCTGCGACAACCACACCACAGCGCGAGCACCGCCGTTCGCTAACGAACACCACCGTACGCTTGCGAGCACCACAGTGCGCGCACTGCGTGCGTGCGAACACTACAATGCGGTTGCGACCACCACGCCGTGTGGCGAGGGGCCGCGCAACGTTGCGCGGCAGTGGAGATCATCCTGTTCCTCTACCCGTTCCTCCTCCTCCTCCCTTGCTCCTCCTCCTCCACCACCTCATCCTCCTTTTTCTCCCCCCCTGCCTCTGTTATCCGGCCCCAGCCCGTTGTCTTTTTGTGGGCCTACGGAAGGACGACAGACGACGACGACGACGACGACGGACGACTGAATACTGACGACGACAACGACTACCAATGACGACGATGACGACGACGCCGACGACGACGACGGTGGAGCGGTAGCGACGGTGGCAGCGGCGACGACGACGACGACGACGACGACGAACGACGAGGTTGACGACGGTGTCGGCGGCGGCCGCGGCGGCGGCGGGATAGAAATCGCCACCGCGCTTGCGGCGGCTTGTGCATGTCGGACCCTTACCTCAACCGTGCTGTTCCTTACGTCCGTCGTCCTTCTTCAACGTCGCTGTCCTCATCATCCTCCTCCTGCTCCTCCTACTCCTCCTTCTGTTGCCCCTTCCTCTCGCGAACATCACGTTCACCTGCGAACGCCGCAACGTACCCGCGAACACCACAACGACTGCGAGCACCACGCGCAGGTACAACGGTACGCCGGACCCTGTCAGAATCGCAAAAGCGCGAGCAACGCAACGCGTGCTCGAACACCACCAATAACCCTGCATGTGCCACGGTAACACGTGAGGACCACAGTATGCCTTTGAGCAAGACGACATGCCTTCGGGCACCTGCATGTCGGGGGGGGTCCCCAACAAAATACGATCGTTATCGATACCCGGGGGAAGGGCGTTGGCCCAGGTAACGCGTGTTACCCGCCAAAGGGTTTCAAAATAATCTCCTCAACCGTTCCATCAGGTGCTCGCTGCAGCAAACGGGAATACACCTGTAAGCGCTTAACTACGAGGAGGGTCTAATGACAGGAGTGCATATTGCAGAATTAGTACTGGCCTTTCCTGCTCATCTTAAGCGTTCAGGAAAACATCAACTGAGAAATTACTCAGGTGGCCCCGCGTGGCAAACCATCTGGACGCAGCACGGACGAACAATGAGCCAGTGACCTAATAGGGAAGTATCAGGCATCGTCGTGGTCGGAACTTTGGCAGTATAGTCGTCCGTGCCGCCAGGGTAGTACTAGAACAAAAAGATGGTATGATGAGGACTTGTAGCAGTCGCAGTAGCAAACGAAAAACAAACAACTATAGGATGATCGTGCTGGTCGCAGGGATGATAGTCAGCACAATCATAAGAAACAATGTCCGAATCAATACCTGTATCATGATGAAGATAAGATCACCTCCCGGGCAAATCCCATGGAGAATCCAGTGTCGACCCGAGAAATCCGCGGAAACATCCAAAACTTGCACTCGGAGCTGCTTGCAAAAGACACCCGAGGGGGCACAAGTCTCTTCCGAGGACAACCATGCTCCAGACATGTAGAGGATATGACACCCGCTAATCTTGCAGGGCTGGCATACTGATCACACCCGACTGTAAGACCGTATGTGAATGATGTGTGTCTTAGTCGAGAGGGAGGCAGATGTGGCGTCAACTATAAGAGCAACTCCTGTCACGTAGCAACAGCGCGATGAGATGAAGGGCCCTCCTGGTGGCGTTGTCCCCATTTTGCGGCGCGAGGCTTCGGGAGCATCCCCGCTGGAGCCGAAACACAAGAACTACATAAACAAGAAGTGTCGGAGGCCCGCCAGGGTTGTTGTGTCGGCGGCGGTCCCACCCCCCGATGGCTGCGCCTCTGGCGCCGATCCAAACTCGCTTCGCGCGCCATGTCCCGCTGGCGGTGATGTAGCTATTCCAATCAATACATCCGACGAGGTGCACTGTTTTATTCGGCCGTCTCAGAAGTTACGACCAAATACTTCTCCACCCCGGATCCATGTTTGACGGTCCCCGGCTTGAGCAAATCACGACGTCGGAGGTCCTCCCTCCCAGGCCCCTCCCTCCGACACTCCTGCCGCTTTATCCGCCACCCGCAGCACCGGAGCGGTGAGGTTCCGCGTGAGCGGCCCAGGCGGTGGCGGAGCGCTGGAGCACCCCTCGCGAGCGCCGCCGTGGTATGAGAGTAGCAGAACTTAGAGAGGGCAGCCTCTGGTACGTTCTCGGGGAAGCGACTGAAGACAATGGAACCTGAGTCGGGGGCAGTATACTAGTACCAGTTTGGATTAGCCAGGCAGCTCAGGACTAAGCCAGATTCAGCTGCGCTGCACTGAATTAAATGGGATGAGGCTGGTCTCCGACCGCGGATGTATGAGCGCCGATGTAGAATTCAACCTCCGAAGACATGTAGCCCAAAAGATCCACCTAAATAGTCCCGGCTGGGCCAATCGTGGGACCTGGGTCAGTGTACACACTCTCCCTGATTGGCAAACAGGCCTCTGCACCGATTCTGGGTCTAGAATCGGCCCCGCCAGGATTGGTGTCATGAGCGCGTAGTTAAATCGGCCCGAACCAACGAAACATGGAACAAGGAGATGACTATCAAATTCGTCGACACCTTGGGGGGTCCTCGGTGTGTGGGACACGTGCGCCCATCCCCAAACCCTCCCTCGGGAGCTCATTGGCCTCCAGGGCCGGCGGACCCGTTTTGCCATGAAAAAGCTCCAACGCGTATAAAAATCGCCCAAGAGAGCTGCTTGCCCCTACGCATCCATGATCAAATCCGCCGATCCAGCGTGTGAGTTTCTGAGAGCGTTGGCTTGAGCTCGCTCAAACTTCGCTCTGCAAGGGGGGGGGGGCGCAAACGACGAAAGAATTGACACGCAAGGCCTCCCCAATGCCGGGACCGACCCCCCCCTTCAACTTCCTCTCTGGCGCCCCCCCCTCTCTTCCTGCTTCCCCCCTTTCCGCTTCTCTCTTCTCCGCCCCCCCCCCCCTCGTCCTGCACCCCCCCCGCCTCTGCGCCTTCTCTTTCCCCCAGCCCCCCCCCCCCTGCACTGCGCCCTGGACAGGAGAGAGGGGGGGGGGATGGGAAGGGAAAGGAGAGATGGGGGGGGACGGGGGAGGGGACAGGAGAGAGGGGGGGGGGAGCAGGAGAGAGGAAGGGGGGGGGGCAGGAGAGAGGGGGCGGAGAGGGGGGGGTTGGACAGGAGAGAGGAGGGGGGACAGGAGAGAGAGGGGGGGCGGGGGAAAAGGAGAGAGGGGAGGAGACAGGAGAGAACGAACGAACGAACGAACAACGAACACCCAATGTCGGGTAGCGCCCGGCCCTGCGCGGGGCGTGGGTGGATGGCACCGCAGTGCCTCAGATGGATTCGTACATGAAGCCGTCCTGCAGGTTCGTCCGGAACTCTACATTGCAAGCAAGTGAAATCCAATCCCCGCCAGGGGCGTCGTAGCCGGCATCACGCAAGAAATTAACTACATCGTCAGCCCAGCGCTTTCGAGGTCTCCCCGGCAGCCCCCCCCGGGCGCGTGGGTCAAGTTCAGGAATCCAATTGACTGCTTTCACAGCCCATCTGTCGCTGGGCATATTTGCTATCCGGGCATTTCCAGATCTTTCGTCGCGCCGCCTCCCGCCAACAATCGATGTGCAGCTTGTTCATATGCTCTTCAATATGATGAGTAACGCGCTTTATCCAGTCCCCTGACATCTTGCAGTCGTGATTTTTGCACGACGTCCCGAAAAAGGCTCAATTTTAAATTGCAACGTGGAGAGAAAACCAAGACATCGGAAAATAATTGCAACACTACAATTGTAACTAAATGGCTGGCACTTGGCCGTTAACCAGCTCTTGTTACGGGTACAGACCGGACGTCGCGGAGGCCGGGGGAGGGATTAGATGTCATGGAACGCGCGGGCGCGCCATTTCATCTCCGAGGGTGCGCCGCGCGCCGTGCATAATGGCGTGCACGCCATTATCCTGTGCGCCCGCCCGCAAGGGCAGGGATTGCTGCGTTGAGGACACAACTACTGTTTCGATCCTCCACGCGGTGGTTATGTGTAAACCTCCACGTCAAGGAGGGGATCGACCATAGGGAGAAGGAACATGTGTTATATACATATATGTATATATATGTATATACATGGCGAGGAATTCGCCACCGAACGGCGTGCACAGGGGATGGGAATGCTCGCAGCGGTCCGTTCTTTCTCGATCGCATGCGCAATAGTACTCGGCAGCACGGTGTGGCCCGCGCGCGTCCTGCTTGAAGCCATGTAGCTCCAAGCTGCTGAAACATTAGGTTTATACCCTAACGCTCAGGAACGGAAAGAGGATACATACATATAATATGTATATCAGGTGCACACATGCCTACACACCTACATACACTGACAAGTACAAGTGCACGCGTACATCCATACATATACATACACACATACATACATACATGCATGCATAAGTACATACATGTATACATGCATACATACATACATGCATGCATACATACATGTAGTATACACACATGCCTACATACACACAAGGAGCGCCATTTCAACCGCATCTAGCTAGTCGTCGTAGATCACTGTACACTCATGCACGTCCACTCTGAGAGCCACGCGCGAGCGAGAGGAGGCGTGAGCTTGCAGAGGGGATATTTCCAACGATCGCGACGTACATCGGCTCGCGGCCGACGGCGGGGCGGAGCGCGCCCCGACGGAGGTGCCAACGGAGGAGGCGGAGGAGGGGAGGGGGAAAGGCTGAGGGGAGGCTGTCGCGGGGGCCCCTGGAGGAGTCACTGGGGTCGAGGCCGAGCGAGGGAGGAAGGGGGCAAGAACAACTGATCGAAACCGAGTCCACTCGGTTTTCCCGATTTGGATCCAGGCTCGCATGTCAACTAATTACTCGGCGATCGTGCGTGCATGTGTGCCTGAGTGTGCGAATGTGTGTGCGTGTGTGCCTGAGTGTGTGTGTGTGTGTGCGTGTGTGCGTCCGTGCAACATGCACTCATGCTTGAGATCTGGATGAGCAGGGGAGGGATCAGGCGTCTGGAACGGCCCTCTATAGAATACTGCGGCGGACATGACGATGCATTGCAGCGTCGGCCCTCGATCTATAGAATACTGCGGCGGACATCGGCCCTCTATAGAATACTGTTGCGGACATCGGCCCTCGATATAGAATATTTTGCCGCACCCCGCACTCGCGTCGACGGGATGGGGTGGATAAGATCATTGTCGACGGCGCCGTATCTCGATGCATCTTCGAGGGCCAGCCTCGGCAGTGCACTGGGGCGAAGCCGAAAGACATGGATCGATCGGTCGATCGATCCATCGATCGCTCGATCGATCGAGCGATCGAGCGATCGAGTCCATTCGGCCCTCAGGGGGCGATCGATCGAGAGATCGATCGATTGGCCGATCGATCTCATGCCTTTCGGCCCTCAGGGCGGGACTTCTTCTGGAACTTCGGAGTTCCATGCATTCCGGAAGGGCGCCCCCCCGCGCCCTGAAAATTCGAGCTGGGTCGAGGCTCTCGATCTCGAAAAGGCTCCGTTCGCAACGAACCACGCAGCGCCCCTTCGCCCTCGATCCCACGCGGAGGGGCAAGATGCCTCGAGAAGGCTCCGTTCGCAACGAACCTGCATGCAACGACCCTTCGCCCTCGGGACCCCTGGCGCCCACGCGGAGGGGCAAGATGCCTCGAGAAGGCTCCGTTCGCAACGAACCATGCAGCGACCCTTCGCCCTATATACCCCTGGCGCCCTTAAGGTTCCGTTCCACGCAGCGACCCTTCGCCCAGGGGCAAGATGCCTCGAGAAGGCTCCGTTCGCAACGGTATCCTCGTGGAAGTCTTCGGATCCAGGGCCCTCGAGCGGGCGCCAGGGGTCGAGGGTGAAGGGGCGAGGGAGGCAAGGCGATGGGCAGGGATGAGCTGGGGCGATGGGGCAGCGGGGGTGAAGGGGATCGAGGATGAAACGGTTTCCCTCTTAAGAGGGCCTGCGGGTCGAAAAGGGCGCGGCAGGGAAAGGGGGGATAGACGCGCCCAGTTCCAGGGCCTGGTGCCAGCTCCGCGTCCGCATCGACCGCGCGGGTGGCCCTGCCTAGGCTTCCCCTCCTGCTTTCCCCTCCTCCTCTCCCTCCTCTCTCTCTCTCTCTCTCTCTCTCTCTCCCCATCTCTCTCTCCCCCCCGCGCGCACGCACTTTTTGTCCAGCTCAGGCAACCGTGTACTTCTCGAGGAAAGCAAAATAGAAGGTTGGCCCATGGTGAACTGACTTCGCCACGGCCGCAAGCGCACGATTGGTCCCCTCGTCTTTATACGTCCAGTAGAACCTGGGGTTGCCCAGGACCCTGGCGGACTTCACAAGGTGGTAGCACATGTGGTGCTTATATGTACAGTGGCCGCCGCTGGCCTTCCAGCACTGAAGGAATTCCAACATGCGCGCCTCCATGTCCCTTTGGGCCTGGACAGGCATCTGCCGAGGATTGCGCTCGATAATCTCATGAAACGCCAACAGAGATCTACACGCAGGTGGAATGTAAACGTTAGCACCATTAGCAAACACAGCAGCATTTTCAGAACATAATTCAAGGAGAAGGGGCACGAGGTACCTTGTCTCGGCAGCCTTGGCGTGAAGCCTCGGCTGGCCCGCGTCCCCGAGCATCTTCAAGCTAATCTTGAATATCCTCGATTGCGCCCCACGCGCGAAGATGGCAGCATTGGCAAGGTAGAAGGCCTTCATGCGGCGCCTCAAGTGGATCAGGTTGTGCGCTCTACGTATGATCGCTGTCCGAGCCGAACTCCTGGCAAAATTCGCCTCGATGAGGGTCCAGAAGACCGTGGCCACCAGCCTTTGCGTGCAGCCCAAATCGAGCACGTGCATGACGTCTAAGCAGATCATCGCCACTGTGAACCCCACGACGCCCAGGATTGGCGCCACGAAGTTGATCCCCGCATTGTTGTGCACGTCGAAGAAATCCAGCCGAACAGAGCGACCTGGACTGAACAGGGCTTCAACCTCGTCCATCCTGTGGGTGTCAGTGACATAGCCCTGGTGCAGCAGTCTGTAGCCTGCAGGCAAGCCGAGCTCAGGGAAATTACACCAGGTGCCAAACCCCCACAACTCAGGATCGTGGCGACAGCATTTCATTAGGCGCTTGAACTGCGCCTTCGAAGTAACTGTAACAGTCTTCACCGCTGAGCGCATTATCTCGGCGTATTGCACAGGAGTCTTGTCTACCCATGGGCAGCTCGCCACAGACAGAGGGAAGTCAAACAGCTGATCCTTGCGACAATTACATGCCCAGCAGGGGTGTTCCACATTGTCCCAGCGCTTGAATCCACACGCCTGGTGGATCTCCAGGAGATCCGCTCTCATCTCGCAGACGGCGGCACAGAGCCCGCCAGCCAACGGAAACCCGCGCCGAGCAGCACGGATCTCGTCATCGAATGGCGCGTCGTCGTGGCCACGGTCGGGCCACATGCCTGTGGACATCACGTTAAATGACCATACTATGATTCTCATGATGGCTGCCAGGGTGCACATCCCGCGGCAGCCACACTGGCATAGATCGCTCTTTCGAACGATGCCGATTGTGTGGCGGGCCGAGGTCGCAAAGTTGCTCCACGAGAATGTGATGAAACTGTCCTTCTTCGTGTGGGGTACCCCGTCGGAGTAGCACCCCACTGGGAAAGCAAGATCCCCCGTCAGAAGTTTCACGGCATGAGTCTCGAAGTGTGGCGGGACGTTCTGGGAGCCTAGGCGGCGAAGGTCATAGTTCGAAGGGTTTGCCTCGTAGGTGCTGCTGAAAGTCTCGTGCGGGAGGGGCAACGGGAAGGCGCAGTAGGTCCGCGTCTGGGTGTCTTGGTCCCACATGGGGACCTTTGTGGTGTAAAACGCCCCGCGGTTGTTCATGCCAAGCGCTTCCCGAATGTGGTGAGTGTGGTGCGCCGAGCCTGCAGGGTCACATGCCAAGTCGCCCAAGCCACTGAGCCCAGCCCTCGAACAGTGCCACGCGATAGTACACACATCCTATCGGGGAGGGGGGGTCGACACCATCCTCGGCCGCTCAGTTTTCGACTGGTCGGAGGCGGGGTGCAACTTTCGACCTGGGTAAAACTGGCGCGGGTCAGATGTGGGCCCCAGCATCGATCATCACCGATCGATTGATTCGACCCCCACTGGAAAAATCACATGGGACAAAGATGGTATATATGACCCCCCTTCCCCCGCCCCCCACACATCCTGCGCCGTGACCTTGCCCTCGCCCCACCTGCTGAGCAAGTACTCCCGCAATCCTTCCCCGTGAGGGTCCGCGAGCTGCCGTGCCTCCTCTGACCTCCGAGGCGCCTCGATGAACACCGATGCTGCTGCTGCGCGGGCTGCCATGGTGACAGGCGGTTCAAGCTCGAACGAATGCGCAATCGATGTGTAGTGGATTCCAAGGATCTCCAAACAGCTTGATCGCAACGGCTACGGACACTTGGTGTGGGATCTGATTTGCCAGCACTAGTACGAGAGCGCCTGAGCCGCTCGAGACCTCCTCGTGCTCATCCAGAGCGCGTGTCCCGATCATCATGTGATGATGTCTCAAGCGAGGGTGCCGATCATGTTTGACATCGGTTCCAGGGGACACCAGTCGATGCTATGTTACGCCATGGGTTGCAATCGATCTGTCGACCTGCAGGGACATCGCCCAGTGTCATACGATAGAAACTGCCTCGACTGTTCGACTGTAAGCGTCCAAACTTCCCTCATCCCTCCCCCGACGCTTGCTGACGACGAGGCTCAAGAGCTGCTGCCATTTCCATCGCGCGTCGAGCACTCCTCAGCGGCAACGGTTTGCACGTGCAGTGCACATCGCCTCTCCTCCCCTCATTTCCCTCCTCCCTCCTTCTCCTCTCTCCTCCCCTCACCTCCCCTCAGATCCCAATCTTCGGGCCCCAACATTCACTCATGTTCCTTGTTCTTCTCACCACCGTCACTGTCGACGGGGCCAGAGCATCTGCGCGCGGTCCAAAACATCGATAGCTGTCGCACTACAGACTATAGTGCATTCACCGCGTGCGGTTCACCGAACGCTCATTGAAATCCTGAGTTCCGAGCTCAAGCACGAGTAGGGAGTTGGACACACCAGTCTCATGCAGGCCCTCGCTCATACACGCACGCACGCACACACACACACACGCACACATTCATGCTGGGCCACGCTCTTAACGTACGCTCACACACACACACACTCGAAACCTCAGGCGAGGACAACTGGCGCCCTACTGCTCCGAAGCGTCTTCCAACGCCCTCGTCGCAGCGCTCACCGAGGCCATCACTGGGGAAATCAAGCTCCAGAGCCGACTCGCCTCGCGAGGGATGGTTCGGAATCGATGGTGGGCCCGTCTAGGAAGGAGGAGAGTGGGAGGGGCTCGAGGAGGAGGGGGAGGTGAGTAGGGGAGGAAGAGGAGGAGGAGGAGGAGGAGGAGGGGGAGGAGGAGGAGGACGAAATTAACCCCGAGGGGTTCCGACTCCGCGCGGTGATGGGTCCACCCCTTTTCTACAGTTAACCGGATACCCCCCAGCCTCCATACCTTCCCGTGATCTCCCGCGCGGTTGCAAACCCAGTTGACGTCCAAACAATGATGCAAGGGTGGCGGTGGCTTCGGGAAATCGGATTCATGTCGATCGACTGTGCAGCAGGAGAGGGGCGAGCCTCGCCCAAGCCAGTGCTGATCTCGCCCGCGTCCACCGTCGACCTGGCGCGGCGGGGGGGGGAGCAGGCGGATTGGAGGGGGATCCAAGGATGAGGTTTGGATCGAAGGACGATGAGGAGGAGGAGGAGGAGGAGGAGGAGCGGTGGATGATCGAGGACGAGGAGGAGGAGCGATGATGATGAAGAGGAGAGAGGGAAGGATGGGCGGATGAAAAAAAAGGAATGGCATTCTTGGAACAATTACTCCTGACTCGAGTCACTCAGCAAAAGCTAGGCAGGAGAGGAGCACGGAGGGGAGGCTGACTTGCCCTGAATACCCTCGGTCAGCGATACGTTGAAGGACTCCAGCAGCTCAACGCTCTTCTTGATCTGGGGCCCGAACGGGGACAGCCACGGCACGTTGCACACCTCCCTTTCGACCACTTCGAAGCGAGGGGAGTAGGGGATGGAGGAGGATCAGGATCCATCGACGACGGAGGAGGAGGAGGAGGAGGAGGAAGAGGAGGAGGAGGAAGAGGAGGAGGAGCTCGAGGAGGAGGAGGAGGGGAGCGGCCCTCGCCGAGGAGGAGGGGGATCGAGGAGAAGGAGGAGGAGGAGGAGGCACCCCCCCTGCCCACGTCGATGCCAGTCAATTGCGCGTGCATCATGGTGCAACTGCCCAGCAAACTCCCGTACTCCCCAGCGTTCGAGGGCAGTTTCGCGACCGCCAGCGAAGATGCAGCTGCAGTCGATGAGCGAGGGGCATCATCCTCGATCCGCCGTCGACGCAGGCACGGAATGAGAATGAGATCGATCAGATGATGATGATGATGATGATGATGATGATGATGAGGAGGAGGAGGAGGAGGAGGAGGAGGACGAAGAGGAGGTGAGGAGACGAGGGACTTGGGTCGGGAGGAGGACGCACGATTAAGAAGGATCTCGAGATGAGGAGAATAACGAGGACGAGGATGAGGAGGATGGAGGAGAAGTCTAACCCTCAGATCCTCCTGCATCTCCACATCCTCATCCCTTCAGTTCCTCCTTCGGTTCATCGCTACATTCCTGCCCTCCGATCCCCAATCGCGGATGAGTCCTCACTCTCGCTCTCGCTCGTGGAGTAGCTGTAGTCGGACTCCTCTTGCTTGATCGCGGCCTCGCATGGCATTCAGATTGGGAAGATGATTGGGGCTTCGGGGGGACAGCATGGCATGCAGCGCAGTTGGTGGGGGGATGGGGGTTCGGGGTCGACGAGCTCGAAAGGGTCTGGAAGAGCGAATGCGACTCGAGACGATGCCTCCTCCTTCTCACCATCTCGCGTCCACTGCCCCCGCACTTCATGGGAATGCTATCGACCTATCAACGTTCTCATTGAGGGCATTCGGGGCTTTGGATGCGTGATATTATCCATCCTCTCCCCTCCACGTGAGCAAGCCTTCATGTTGCGGTTGTTGAGCCCGCGGACGTCGTCGGGCTTCACTTTGCCAGTGCTCAGCACGGTCTCCAAGCTCTGCTTCTTCGACTATCGGTAAGGAGGGGGGCAGCACAGATGCAACGTCGCAGCTTGTTCGAACCAGGTCCGATCGATCTCGAACCGACTCCGCACGCATCCTTCCCCTCCCACGGGGGGGGGGGGGGGCGCAGATGCAACGTCCCAGCTTGTTCGAACCAGGTCCGATCGATGTCGAACCGACTTCCTTCCCCTCCCAAGGGGGGGGGCAGCGCAGATGCAACGTCCCAGCTTGTTCGAACCAGGTCCGATCGATGTCGAACCGACTCCTATGCATCCTTCCCCTCCCACGCAACAAAACACAAGTTTGGCCTGGCGCTCCTCGCTCTCCACCGTGCAGCGGCGGAACAGCACCTCCTTGGTCTGCGGGTCGACCTCCCCATGCAGCCCCTCCGATTGGATCCCTTCTCGTCGATCCGTATCCTCCAGATCCCTCATCTTCTCTACTTCCTCCTCTCCCTTCCTCCTCATCCTCCTCTTCTTTTCCTCCCCTTCCTCCTCCTCCTCCCCCTCCTCTTCTGACGCCTCCTCCTTCTCCTCCTGTTGTTCCTCCTCTTCTTCCTCATCCTCCTCCTCCTGGCCCTTGCTGGGAGTTTGGATTCTAACATATCGAACGGAACTGCATGCTCAAGCCCTGTTCATATCGATTGTATCCCAAGCTCTGCCCAGCCCCACCGAGCAGTGTGTCTTCTTCATTTCGAGGCAGTAGTCCTTGATCGTGAATGCCCTCTGCCATGCCCTGGGGCCGATGTGATTTCACAGTTTATTCCCCCTCCTCCTCCTACTCTTCCCCCCTCCTCCTCGATCTCCGCCTCCTCTTCCTCCTCCTCCTGCTTCTCCTCCTCGCCCTCATCTTTGACCATCAGATTCAAAGGAAGCGCCTCTGTCCAGTCTCTGTTTTCTGGTTCTCCTCCGTCCACCCGCACACGGATAGCAAGCTGTCCCAGTTGTGCCATTGATTCTTTTTCGTGTTGAGCTCCTCTGTCGATTCCTTGTGTGTTTTCAGCGACTCGCACCAGTTGAAGTCACCTCCACTCCCGCGGGCGCAGGCGGAAATTCTCGGCGGTGGTTTCGACTCCCCTGGTGGGGACGAGGAGGAGGAAGATCGAGGGAGAGGAGGAGGTGGAGGAGGAGCCTCGAGGAAGAAGAAAAATGTCGAGCCGGAACCCGGGGAGGAGGCGGAGGAGGAGGAGGAGGAGGAGGAGGAGGAGAGGGGGCCCCTCCCCCCATCGCCGAATTTCTTCCAATTCTTCAACCACTTCTTCTTGTCGTGACGGCGGACCTTGGACCATTCATCTTGGACACACTTTTTTCAGTGGACATGGCGAGGCGCATCCGTTGCATTGCATTTTCGTGGTCCGAGTCCTGTTTCCTGGAAATGGCTTTCTTCTCCTTCGCTGCTTTCTTCTCCGCGGGCGTCTTGGGCGGCTTCTTTGGCGGCATCGCCTCCCTCTCCCAAGGTGCACGGAAATTCAAGGGCCCTGCAACTGGCACGGTGCTGGATCCAAACGAATACGCATGCAACATCGAGATCGGCAACAAAAACGTGGAACCGTCCATGAGCAATATCCAGGTCGGCAACGATTACGCTCACCCAGCAGCACTCCCCACGCTTAACAACCGAGCGGCCAGTGCAACTGCAATATCCAGGTCGGCGTGTATAATCCAAACATGGGAAGCATGCGATGTCACCGATATCTATCAGTGCAGTCTACACATCATCATCCTTTTCCTCCTGCTCCTTCTCCTCCTCCCATCGTTCCTCCTGCTCCCCCGCTCCTCCTCCCCATCGTTCCCCATCGTTCCACAAATACATGACATGTATTTACGTGTATATATATATATATGTATGTATACACACACGTGCGTGCGTGTGGCACGAAGTATGTGCCCGTGTGCGCGCGCACGCTGTATAAGGTGCGTCGCATATATATATATATATATATATATATATATGCACGCACATCTATACATATATACATACATACATATATGTGTATATATACACATGTATGTGTGTATATATTTACGATGCGCACATGCAATATCCAGGTCGGCAACGCGCCGCCCTTTCGCCTGCGCACGCGCAGCGCGCGCGTGCGAGGCGCCGTCGCCAAATCGGCGACGGCATGTTGAATTCAATGCGCCGCGCGCAGGCTTTGCTGCGCGCGCTTAAAAAAATGACAATATCCAGGT